TCAAAACTGTTTTGTAAAGTTCTTTGCTTGACTTCTTGCGTGATTGGTTCAAGTAAAAAGCGCGAGTATAGACATTGTTGCCAAGCATACCTTTCACAGTTTATTCAAAGTCAGAGTAACAAGATCCTTTTTGTGAACTCCGTAGTTTCAGGGAAGAGTTCGCATGTTCAATATCCATTTTGATTGGAGCGAATGGAATGTGTTTGCGTTTGTTATCTCCCTTGTTTTGAGATAATAGTATGCTTTTGGTTTATGTACCCCCTCCAAGTACTTGTTACCAAAGACTGCACGAATGATTGTTTGAAGTCTCTTCCAAACTCTGACGGTAGTGGTAATTTAAATAAACTATAAGAAATATGTAGTAAAAATCAAGCTGTTGTAAGCAGTTTTGAAGTACGAAATGCATAGGCCAGCATTGTTCTATACTTTGATTCTAGTAAATTCGGAGGCTAATTGAAATACACAAATAATCCTTTTGTTATACCCTTTGTTCTAACTCTTCGAATTAAAAATTGTTTGATTTTACTGTTTGCTTTACTAGCCCTCTCAATTGAAATTACCCTTCAGTAATTACTCTAATCTTTATAGCTAAAAGCCGCCCACGCTCTCCTATCAAATTTCTAAGATCTCATTGTCAAATTTACTTGAATACAGCAGAGACTGTAAGGTAATCAAAAACGTTTAGCAGAAAAATCACGTGAAATGCAAAGTATTGTTATATAACGTGACTGTATGGTTACCTAAGCTTTTTTATCCTTCTCTAAAGGTTATTGACCTAACGATAAAATATTTACTCGGTTGCCAAGCAAATTATTACTGCAACTGAGTCAAGAGTGCAAGTATTTAAAGAAGATCGCGCTAAATGTGACCACTTTATTTCGTACGGCAACTTTTTCACAGACACTTGATTAGCATAATGTGGTTAGGCTTCTCTCTGTAGGGTAACATTGTTTCAAGGTTTGATATTCAGATTTCTACAGTAATTGAAGCCATTTAAAGACTACCCCTGCTATGAATGCTCCACGATTTTTTTCCAAAAAAAGAGAAGAGGTGTTTGAAAGAACTTCTTCCATAGTGTAATTAATATTTACGATCTACCTCTTCTTTCCTTTAACCTTCTTTCCATGTTCATTTGTTAGTGAATGTTTAGTAAAAACAAAAGAATAGACTCCTACATCTACTTCTGCCAAGCTTGAACTGTTAAAGCTACGTTAAGGCTCTTCCAACATGAAACCGCTTGAGAAGTTAATCGAAACATCATTCATACAATTTTAGTCATGCCTACTTGTTCACCGTTTATCATTATTAACCATTACCCTACAACCTCAGAATTTCACGCTACCAGTACAGACGTTTTAAAGAATTTTCACGGGATAGCCCAGAAACCAGACAAGTAATCTCAAAGTTGCACTTTCTTTTGCTTATGTTCACGAGGTATAAATATGCAATTTTCAGTTAGCCTTACAATTACATTGTTGAATTGTGACACAGCCCATGACAGCATCCGTATGATTATTGCTGTAGTCGTTCTGAGACTTCTGTATCTATCAATGCTGAGGAGCACTTCGTTTTCGACATTGTAAATATGGTTTATTCAGTTTATATTTCAAACCTGCCATAAACCTTTGCAATGGTTTTTTCCTTTATTCTATCTGCTCTGTAAAGATTTTCCGCAATATTTTTATTTATAGTACATTGCTCTATTCACATTTTTTATGGCAACTTTTTATAGCAACTATCATATTAACCTTTTTTTGAAGCAGAAAACAAGATGATAAATGGAGGAACTGAATGATTTTGAAGTGATGTAATTTGATAGGGCAGAGAATACTGGCAAGTGTACAAAAATGATGTGATCCGCTTGTAAGGAATCAGTGGAACGGCACAATTCGAGTTT